GGACTTGATTGTTGGAAAGTGCAGGCAAAAAAATCGCAACAACAACAAAAAAGAAAAGAAAAGGGGGGAGATGGCCACCTGGATTGCACTACCGCCTCACCCAGATAGAAAGCCCGGTCATTATTGCTGCATCTGGACTGAATTGGGCCAAATGCAGCTATAATGACCGGGTGTTCTATTCGGGTGAAGACGGTAGCTTCTTATGTTCTGATGAGATGAGTTGTGCAGATTCCTGTGTGACCCATCCCTATAAGCAAAAACTGAAATGAGTCTCAAATAACCATTCGTTTTTCATTTTGTATTGTATGGCAACAGCACACATTACTCGGCACGTGACACCCATAAGACCACCAGCGTCCTGAGGTTGAGCTGAGCTCTCCTGGGTGTCACGTGCTGACTAGCGTGTGCTGTTCGGCTGCCGTGCGGGGGGTTGGATATAAGCTCAACAACCATGTGAGGGTGGGTAGTGAAAGTCACGCAACCAACATGCATTCAGCTTTTTTTTTTAACAGCTTTTTTTTTTTTTAAGCACCGATACAGCTTATTAGAGCACCTTGTCACAGTCGCAAAATATACTTGGGCAACAATTACGGCATCTGGTCTTTATGGCCACGAGATCACCAAATGCCATTACGGCCACGAGAGCACCAGTTCGAACCCCTGCATCTGCCGCGGGGGTAAGGATACATAATCTAGGCAGTCATACCGATCGCGCCCTTCATCAGAGGACCCAATGTCAATAATGATGCCCATACCAAAAAAAAAAAAAGAAAACAACTCCCTGGAGAAAGCATGGGGAAAACAAAAACAGAAAAAGAAAATGTCAAAAGAACGACATGTTAATCTTATGGCTGAGATCACCGGGGGCGTGGTCCCACTATCAAAGAGGATTGGATCGAATGCCTGAATCTGGATGAGTTAATGGAGATGTGCAGGAAATCGAGATTGAACTGCTTTTCCGCATCTCTGCTTAAAACACATCCAGATTCAGGAGCTCGGATGTGATTCAGGAGCTCGATCCTATCCTTTTTGCTAGTGGGACCTTGGCCCGGATGCAACATCAATAATGGCACCCATACAATTCAATCCCCTCGTCAGCAATCAATTTGTCTCCTAAAAAAATAAAAAATAATTGAAAAAAATACAACGGCGTGCTCGGGCTGTTCTGAGTAATAATAATAATAAAAAAAAAAAAAAAAAAAAAACGGCGTCTGGCGTGTGTGTGTGTGTGTCATGGTCGAGAGATCACGGGTTCGACTCCCTGTGCCTGCCACGGATGTGATGCATCATGATATTGCCAAGCCTACTGATCCCCCTCTTCCCAAATACACTGCTCACCCTTCATCAGACAATCAAAACACCGATCATGATACCCATACAAAAAAGACGCAGGAAAAAAAAAAACACGGGAGGATCTGGCTGCCCTTTCGGTAAACAAAATTAAAAAAACAAAAAAACAAAAAAAAAACGCTCATTATCTCTGTGAGTTAGATGATTACAAAAACCAACACAATAAAAACAAAACAAAAGAAGATGTGCAAACAAAACAAAAAAAAAAATTGCAAGCAGAACCCTTCCTGAAAAAAAAAAGAAGAAACCAAAAAACCCAAGTGAAAAAAACGTTTTTTTGGGGTCCTGTTTTTTTTCTTTTCCATTGAAGCGTCTGGGCGTAAGCCTCTTTTNTCCCCCTAAAAAGAAAGATCATGACAGGAAAACATTAAGGGGTCGGGTGTACGAAAGAACTTAAGAAAAAACAAACTAAAAACAAGATTCCAATTTAAGTCGATCTAACACTTCAAGGAAAGCATAACAAGTGAAAGGAGCCCGGGGGGGGCGGGGCGGCGGAAAGGGAGGGGGGAGGGGAGGGGAGAGGAAAACAAGACCCCAAAAAGAAAACAAAACCGAAAGGAAAAAAACAAACAATTCTACATCCGGCCCCCCCCCGAAATAGGCGCTTCAAGGGGGGTGGGGGGAGGGGGAACAAGACCCCAAAAACACTCAAGGAAGAGGAAAAAACAAACAAAGACTCCCCTCCAAGAAAGAAAGATCATCACAGGTAAACATTGAGGGGTCGGGTGTACAAAAGAACAAAAAAGAAAAAAAAACGAAAAAAAGAATGTGAAAACAAGATTCCAATCTTCCAAGGAAAGAATAAAAAGTGAAAACAGAACAAGATCCCCATAAACCTCCTCAAAAGGGAAAACGACAAAATCAGGTTGGGTGTAAGAACAACTCCATTTTTCTTTTTAGCAAAAGAAACCAATTTATAATTTAGTAAATCAGTTTAAATCACCGAAAAAAGAACTTCAAAAAACAAAAAAAAAGACAAAATTTCCATTTAGCCCTCCAGGGAAAGACGAAAACTGAAAACGGGCAGGATCCCCCCAAACCTATCTCTGCCCTTTAGAGGGGGAAAAAAAGAATAAAATGAATCCGCCTATATCGTCATTTGCCTCTCTGACACCGAACTCACACGAGGGACTTTTTCCACTTCTCTCTGGACGTAATCGAGGCACGGTGCATCCAGTCGGGGCCGAAAAAGCGGTCTCATACATCCATAAAAATCCTAGTGCGAGAACGGCCCACCCCTGCAACAACCCCTTTATGGCAAAGAACACACCGCCAGCCACCATCACAGGCATATTTACAAGGCCCTGGACGCCATTGCAGCCAGATTCATCCAGGCTTGGCCGTGATTTTGGTCAGATTGCATTTTTTATAAGTGCTACCTGGATTGGGGCCGAAAAAGCGGTCTCATACATTCATAAAAATCCTAGTGCGAGAACGGCCCACCCCTGCAACAAACCCTTTTATGGCAAAGAACACACCACCAGCCACCATCGCAGGCATATACTCAGGGCACTCACACTTTCACCATTCACCAGGTTCTGGACGCGATGACAGCCAGATTCATACAGGCTTGGCCGTGATTTTGGTCAGATTGCATTTTGTAAGTGCACCTGGACGCGAGTGCAGTCAAATTCATCCAGACTTCGCCGTGACTCTGGTCAAATTGCACTTTTTATAACTGCTACCTGGACGCTATTGCAGTCAGATTCATCTACGCTTGCCCGTGATTTTGGTCAGATTGCATTTTACAAGTGCTACCTGGACACGATTGCAGTCAGATTCATCCAAGCTTGGCCGTGATTTCGGTCAGATTGCATTTTACAACTGCACCTGGACGCTATTGCAGTCAGATTCATCTACGCTTGCCCGTGATTTTGGTCAGATTGCATTTTACAAGTGCTACCTGGACGCGATTGCAGTCAGATTCATCCAGGCTTGTAGCCGTGATTTTGGTCAGATTGCATTTTACAAGTGCTACCTGGACGCGATTGCAGTCAGATTCATCCAGGCTTGNGTCAGATTCATCCAGGCTTGTAGCCGTGATTTTGGTCAGATTGCATTTTACAAGTGCTACCTGGACGCGATTGCAGTCAGATTCATCCAGGCTTGGCCGTGATTTTGGTCACATTGCATTTTACAAGTGCTACCTGTACTGTGCGCATGCTCTCTCTCGCTCTCGCACTTTCTGGCTCAAATCTATATAACACTGCAATTACGGCCCAGTACCGGATGCATCTGGCCCCAATCGAGTCCAGAGCTGAGACTAAAATATCAGTAAATGTATATGACTGCAATTACGGCCCAAAACCGGATGCATCTGGCTCCAATCGAGTCCAGAGCTGAGACTAAACAATCAGTCCCGCATCACATTCCCGTCGACGTCCCAATCCCATCCCACACGCTTAACCGCACCTTCCTCAGATGTATATGACTACAATTACGCCCCAACCGGATGCATCTGGCTCCAATTGGGTCTAGAGCTCAGTTTAAATAGCTTCCCCCCTCCTCGACACGGTGCAAGTAGACGCCCGTCGACACGTCCCAGTCCATCCCACACACTTAACTGCACCTTCCTCAGATGTATACGACTGCAATTACGCCCCAACCGGATGCATCTGGCTCCAATTGCGTCCAGAGCTCAGTTCAAATAGGTTCCACCCCCCTGGACACGGTGCGAGTAGAGGCCCACCCGCATTACATCCCCGTGGACACGTCCCAGTCCCATCCCACACACATCACCACACCGTTTCCTTGGCAAAAGGCAGTGCCTCGGTCCAATTGACAACACAAGAAATGTATCCGAAGCACAAAATCGTCCCAATACATTCATATCGTTCAATCGGTCCGAATGCATTTGGTCTGCACATGGTCTGTATACAGTCCACATACATGTCGAAGTCCAGTAGGCCCCAACAGCTCGAAAAACAGAATTTACCAGAAGGGGAAAAAAAATAAAAAATCCTCCATGCAACAAATGGATAAGCGACAAAAAACAAACGTGGCAATTACTAAGACCAAAAAAAAAAAGAAAAAAAAAAAAGAAGAAAAACACAACCTAAGTTCGAAGTACGTGGCAATCACTAAGACCAAGAAAAAAAAAAAAGAACAAGAAAATATTAAAAAATAAGAAAAACACGTGGCAGAAAAACACGACCTAAGTTCTTCACGACATCCGTCAAAAATTGGAATGATATTTTATTATTAAAATTTTATTTTAGCATGCACGAAAAAACAGGAGAGAGAGAGAGTGAGCATGGACTACCAAAAAAACATAAAACAATTAAAAGTTTAAACAAAGCAAAAGGGGCGATGTCCAGCAAGGAAAAAACGGAAATCATGTAACCAAAAAATAAAAAATAAAAAAATAAAATTAAAATTGAAGTTTAAACAAAGCAAAAGAAAAGACGAAACAAAATGCAAAAAAGGCACCGAAAGCTCACAGCCACCAAACAACTAGCCATAGTACAGGACAAGGGAAATGTACAATTTTCCAAGAAAAATAAAGAGTCAACAAATTCTTCAAGCACCAATGATAAGCTAAACCCGCACACACACAGAGAGAGAGAGAGAGAGAGAGCCGGGAGTAGGGGGGAGGAGGGTAAGGGGAAGGGGTGAAGGAGGGTGGGGGAAGGGGGGAAGGAAGAAAGCTCTCGTTGCCATTGGAGTAATGTTCAGACACTGTACAGAAGAGAAACCTACCTGTGTACTTTCACTCCTCCCCATAGCAGAAAGAACAGGTGGCTTCCAATTTATGAATTTGAGCGTTCAGACGGAACAACTCTAGTGTTCCCGGTTGATCAATCTTGACAGAGAGTGCAGGAAAGTGCAGATGATGTGGTTTACTCCGCAAAGTCTACAAGGAAGAGCACTTGCCATGAGAGTAGGGTAGAGTAGAGACGAGGATAAGAATTGCCACAAGTCCCAAGGAGGAGTGTGTGTCAAACAGAACCCCACATTCTCTCTCTCTCTCTCTTTCTCTCTCTCGCTATAAAGCGTGGGCGAGCGAGTGCGACCTTCCCGTTCGTGTTTAGACTCTAGAGGAATAGACGTTTTCGACCGACAAAGACAGAAAAGCAAAACCGGAGAACGGCTCCGTAAAGAACTTCCGAGCTGGGAAAAAAAAAACCGACGTCGACAACAAATGGAAGAAAAGCCCCTCTTTCACTTTTCCATCTTTCGCGTTCTTCGTCTCTATTTCGTCTATAGAGATTGTTGTTATCTACTACTGTCTCTTCACAGAGCCACCTTTCTTTATTAGAGTGCCCAGAACAGAATAGATCTGATGCTGCAGAGGATGAACCCCCCATCTTCACTACTGACCCCACCAACATAAGCGGGGGGTTATACGCGGTCCCACTTACGGAAATACACAAAGGTTGTCGTCATCATAATCTCCCACCAAAAGACCTGTTTCTTTTTTCCCCACCGTGGATCGCTCCTTCGCTACAGAAGGCGCGACTGCCCAACCAGCACCAAAATAGCAAAATCTAAAAAAGGAGAGAACAAGTTCAAAAGCCCGTTCGATAAAAAAAAACTGCAAACGACAACAAAGACCACACTACTACCTTTCGTGCCATTCACTAGCACACAACGGCCAATCTCGACAAGCCACCACCCATATGTCCTTCTCTCCCTCTCTCTCTCTCTCTCTCTCTCTCACACACACACACACACACACACACAAACACACGAGACACGATTCAAGCGACGCACGCTCCTGAACGTGGAAGACTAAACTTGCTCTCTCCTGCTGCTCGATTAAGGGCAATAATACGAGCTGCTTGCGAGTGGGTGCTGCAGCGTTAACAAAAGCACGCGTCTGACTCCAGCAAAACTTCTCCGCGCACCCATACATATATTGTACTCTGTAGCCCAGCAGCAGTGTTCGATCGCGGATAGCCATGTCCACCAGTCGTATATACTCGATCTGCAAAGTGTTTCCTGAACCATGAAAAGCTTGGATGGATACCCTTGGTTCGTACCTGGACCAGTCGTAGGACCAGGACCGTAAAAGTTTCTTCGAGTTGTGTGCACACACTTCGCATGTCAGTCGGTGGACGGCAATGCTCTTCTCCGCAAAGTGAAGGTACGCGTCGGAAGGACTTGAGAAGACCGCGCTCCTCGCCTTGGATATGGACTTGTGAAGCAAACAAGATGGGTGGGAGGATCTTCCAATCGGGAGCGAAGAAGGCCTCGCTCGCGCCTCCGCTCGGCAGGAGGCAATACCGTAGTAGATGTGTTTGTTGTGGGGTATCTATCTAATGCGACTACTAGGGAACTTGGGGTTCGCAAAAAAAGACGAGCCTGGACAAGCGCTGCACTCGAAGTCGGTTATCTGGACAAGAAGATCCGAAATGGAAACAGCGACAAAGGCCAGGCAATGGTCGAGCATAAAAGCGCATTGGTCCAAAAAAAAAAAGAAAAAAAAGCGCATTGGCAAATCATAAATTACGTCAGCTTTCTTTATTGTAATCTCCGCACATCACATTCACGAAAATATAATGTCCGCGAAGGACAGAGCTCCTTCGCTCACCGCATTATTCCTAATTCCCCAGACACCAACAGCGCTCTCCTTATGTTTGAATCCTCTCTCTCTCTCTCTCTCTCAAATCTGCAACCTCCCCGCGCAGATCAGCCTACAACGCAAGGGGAGATTCTGATTCTCTCTCTATTTCTCTCTCTCAAATCTGCGACCTCCCAGCGCAGGTCAGCCTACAACGCAAGGGGAGATTCTGATTCTCTCTCTCTCTCTCTCTCACACACACACACACACACACACACACACCCTCTCTCGCCTTCCGCTCCAAAAAACGAGTCATCAATGTCCGACCTTTCCATCATAACTCGCACATGGTATCACGAACTCCTCGAGAGATAAAAGGTGCGATGCGGCAGAGATAGCACGTGCTCTCTGACGAATACGTCAACAGAAAAAAGTGAATAATCTCATAGTGTACAGACGGCAAGAGAGGATGCGAGGAAAGCGGGCCACCGCAGACTCCTCGTCTGCTCCTCTCTGCTGAGCGGACTGCGAAAAGTCAATTTCAGAGTCCAAAAGGATTTCTGGCCGGTGTCACAGTCTGCAGCACATTGCTGACAGACTGACAGCAGACCGGAAGAGTCCCTTTTTTATCACTAGACGATGACTCGATGAACCGTCTTACCAGAGGAGCGTTCCTCTTGGTGTCCTCTTTTTTGTCTCCTCGTCATCGTGTTCGTCGCCAATCGCATGGACATCATTCCTCTTCCTCCTGGATTAGCCATGAAGATAAAGAGGAAAAACAATCCATAGTCGTCGATGAGGTCGACCCAACACAGAACATACGCGTCATGGCAGTACTCTCTCTCTCGTTCTCTCTCGTTCTCCAACGCTGTTGGTGTTGCGATGTCGCCTCAAATGATACACACATTCATTACGCCCCGTCGTAATCGAGTCTTAAACATTCATCAGATGCGCCTACATCTTCCTATGACCGGAAATATTTAACACACATCAACCCACAAGTCAGACAGCAGTGAAACCGGAAGACACACAGACACATTCCAACTTCTCCACCCAACACACATACACACCCCTCCCTCACTTCCACGCTTCCATCCATCGTATACGGCATCCATGCAGCCCCGCCCCCTCCCCCCCCTCTCTCTCTCTCCCCCCTGCGAAACTAGTACACACACTTCCACCCCCGAGGCATTTCTCTCTCTCTCTCTGACACATGCCCACACGCCACCCACCCCTCTTTGTCTCTCTCAGAGAGGCACACCTCCAGTAAAACTAGTACATAAACTTCCACCCCCAAGGCATCTCTCTCTCTCAGAGAGGCACACCTCCAGTGAAACTAGTACATGCACTTCCACCCCCAGGGCATCTCTCTCTCTCTCTCTCTCCCCCCCTCCTTCGTCTCTCTCAGAGAGGCACACCTCCAGTGAAACTAGTACATGCACTTCCACCCCCAAGGCATCTCTCTCTCTCTCTCTCTCTCTCTCTCTCTCTCTCTCTCTCTCTCTCTCTCTCTCTTTTGTACACACTTCCACCCCTCATGCAACCGAGGTCTCTCTCTCTCTCTCTCTCTCTCTCTCTCTGCTCCCTCCCTCCCTCCCTCCAACGATGGATACCTGCGAAACACATAGAAGAAACAGTTGATGATACCTGAGCTAGCTGGCAAAATTCATGAGTCCTCGGCTGCACTGCATCACCTGCTGAAGAGAATTTCTCGCGCAGGATCGAACGATACACGCCCTGAACGCTGCTGCATTGCGCTCCCCCCTGGAAACGGTGGCGATCTTAAGAAGGCCAACGAGGATGATGATATATTGCATCATATCCATCCCCCACGCAACTATCTTCTTTCTGAAATTGCTGTTATACACTCCCTTGTGTGGTCATACAACTGCACACACACAATGCTACACACACATCCCCAAGTCTCTCTACACAGCTTCCCTCTTCATTATCATCATACTCCAACAGTCTGTAAATGCCTCACTGACCTCTTATATCCCTGCTGTCGGATCTTGAACAGCAAAAAGCCAGAAATGATCTCTCTCTCTCTCTCTCTCTCTCTCTCTCTCTCTCTCTCCACCCATCCACAGCGACTAAAGCGAAAGCCTCTGCGAAACTCTACACAAACCATCCACAGGCCCTGCCTTCAGCCACTCAGCCATACCTCCCAGGAAAAACGGGATTTGAACCCGCGACTTCTGGCGTGACAGACCATGCATTTCTTACCTACACCTCGACGTAATGCGCTTTTTCACTGCCATCACATCACATCACATCACAGATTCCAAACGTGTACTCACATGAGCACTATCGGAAACAGTCCTGACTGCATTTGCAGTCGGACACGGACGTATCTGACCGAAATTACCTCCAGAAACAGGAAGGAATCCCTCGTGTGAGAGGATGCCCTCACAAGTCCGACAATACAACTCTGCCTGAACAGAAGACGACAAAAAATTGACAGAATGTATCTGGTCATCTGCCTGCACAAAAGACAGAAAATTGACAGAATGTATCTGGTCATCTGACACAGAATCCGTTGTCTAATAGATTTCTACACGTAAACATCATATCATACTACACAACATAATCCCCCCTTCCTTTAACGAAAAGGGGGCAGGGCACACCCTTCTTCACTCGGAAAATCGGTACACCCTTCTTACCTGGAAGCAGCCTGATGGCGATGACAAATATAAATAGCCCATTATCCATTATCGTCAGCCATCACTTGGTGCTGCAACTAAGTATATCAGAGCACTTTAAGTGAAAAGCCCAAAGCGCTGCTGCGTCGGCAGGTGGCGGAAGACGATCGATCCATCCACAACACACAGTCGTCTTCTTACGTCCCCGTACGTAAAACTAGTACGTCCATTCCGATGGCAGCTCAAGAGCACAGTCATTGAGCTCGCAAGCGTTGTTGTTGTTGCTGTTGTTATTGCTACTGCCGCTGCCGGTGGTGATGCTGGCGCTGCTGCTGCCGTTCGGCGCCATGTTCATGCCCAGAGAATACACCGCTGCATTGCCTCGGCCGCTGTGCATCTTCTGTCCAACAGGTGAACTAGGCGCTGAGGCCTGCATCTGCATCTGCATCTGCATCTTCCTCCTGCTCTCTACACTCGTGGCAACGGAAGGCATGGCCCAGGTCTTGTCACTCACAGCAGACGGGCCCTTAGACTGTCCCAGCCGTCCCATTCCCATGCGATTGCTGGTACAGAGAGAGGGCATGAAATCTGCAAATGACGACCACAACATCCACGCACACGACCCATACAAAAAGTCAGCTCAGAAAGAAGAAAAAAAAACAAGTCCCAAGAAGGGAATACCCTCCCACAAGATCCTCTCTACGCTACTCTCCCCGCACAGAGACTTGTTCACTCACACACACACAAATCGGAAATCTAGACAGGAAAACAAGAAAATGGGCACGACAAGGTCGCAAATTGCAACAGACCAAATGGGCATACAAAGCAAGAGGAAGGGAGGGGGGAGAGAATAACGGCATAGACTCCCTCCCACAAGGCTCTTTCTTTGGCAACGTCCACCGTGTTC